TTCTGAAGCCTACTTCACTGAAGGCTTTGTGTCTAGATGTTGTAGACAGAAGAGATCGACATGCCTTCTTTAGTTGACTTCACTCTGAAGTTTCATGCGTCTAGGCCTCATTGATAGACGGAGAGGGTTAATTCTCTTCGAAATTTCTCTTGTATGCACCAAGCCGAGGGGGCTCGGCCTTTCCCCAAGCCAAAGTTCTGGAACTGGAATTGGTCGTCTAATCATAATTGTCAATGACATTGTTATGCTGTCACTTCTTTGATTTCTGATACTGTTCATACTTGCTTGCCCAACAAAGGCCATGTTCCCCATGGTTGTATTGAGGTGATTATGCCTTGAAAGAAATGGCAACATTGTCAAGAATTATGTTGGGAAGTATGACATTCTCCAAGGCGCTTAGGTGACAATTGAACTGTTCTATTTAGGCAGTCAGCAAAATAGTTGTTCGTATTCTATTAATTATATAAACTTTTTTCTGTTCTTATTTAATTTTTGAAATTTGAATCTTGAAGGTAAGTACATTAATGGGACCATCATCGTAGTTGATGGAGGACTTTGGTTGAGCCGGCCTCGTCATCTGCCAAAAGAAGCAGTGAAGCAACTTTCACGAGTAGTAGAAAGGAGGTCCAGAGATACACCGGTAGGAGTTCCAACCAGCAAGTTATAGATAGTCTATCACCATGAAGATATTAGCCTTGTTCTCCAACTCACAAAGTATATGCTGAGTAGAACATAAAAGCACCTATTATCGGTAAGCTAAGCTTGAATTTCTATCAAATGGGAGACAGGCACATAGAAACGTAATTCCAGTGATACTTTAATTTGCTCATCTTACAAGTTGCATCAAGTTCCATATTATGGTACTCTGGCTTTATAAATTTATGAGGACAATAATTTGGGATTTCTGCCTTTCTCATCTTGTTATAAGTTTTTGTTTTTACCGGATTGCAACCGAATGGGAATATCCCATCTATCATTTTCTAAATTCTCCATCCTAACCAGACAAGAAAACCTAGTGGGAAAATAAGTTTTTATTTTTGGTCACCGCTACAGCTGCACATAAAACCTAGCAAAACTAGTAAAAAGATTTCATAAATCGTAAACAAAGGGTGTAAGAATTTAAAGTACTCCAATTTTACATGTTAACAAAATGGTTAAAACTACTAAACATGACATACTTGTATTTTAATATCTAACAACATTACTTTTCTAAAATTATAAGACAAAACTTGTTTTATTTTATTTTAATAAAACATTGCAAATTTACATTACTTTTCTTTAAAATATATTATTCATTGAGTATTAACTTCAAAATTAACATAAAAAACTTTACGATTTGACTTGCCCTCATTCTTTATATCTCTCTTTAATCAACCTGTGTCCAAAGGAAACTGTCCTATCAAGAGGAGCTCCACTTATCCTCAAAAACTTCGCTATTGGATGATATAATTGAAGAGCTAGACTTTTCCCACAGGTAATTTTTGCATTAGAATCGAAGGCTTATCTCCTGGTATGATCAAAGAAGAAATGGCACACAATTGGTCAGTAAAATAGGTAAAGCAATCATTGTAAGTGGGCCAAAGCTAATAAAAATGAACATGGGGATCTTTACACTAATTGTAGTCTTACTAATCGCAGTCAGAAACTTTTCCCTTTAAGCAAACCTTCCATCACAGTCTTTCATTAGGATAAATTCCTCTAACTTGATTGACAATTTACATGCCTCTCAACAAAATTGCACTCAAAGCTGGTAGGAGTATTCGAACTTTGGTATGAAGAAAACCGAACAAAATATCATTTCATACAGTTCTCAGTCTACACACCAAGTACCCGAAAAGGTCGCATCTCGGTCCGGTTCCACTTAGCTTATTTTATTAAAATCAATCTTATAAAGTCAAAATAAATCATTGGACCCCTACCCTTAATAGGTTCTCAATTTGACATTTTCCAGTTCCATATGAATATACCTAAAAGTTAATTCTCAACTTAAAAGAATGGCTAATTAAACATTGTCCGGTTCGATTTTCGGTCAAATCACCAAGTAACAAAAAAAATTGATTTATTTCAATCTCTTCCTAGTCATAATCAAAATATACCAATTTGAACCGAAATACAAAAAACATAAATGACTTTTAATTTTAGTTTTGTTTTATTAAATTTTTAGTTATAGAATTAAAACAAAAATTTCAGTCCATTTCGATACAATCTTTAATTCAGACCCCGACAATCAATTCTCGAAACGATCAAGTTTGGTTCTAGACAAATAGATACCCCTAGAAGCTGGTTCTTAAGTTAAAGAAGACATAAAATGGTACTTGCACTCAGAAGCATCCAGAGCACCACTTCACAAACACATGACAAATAGTATGAGAACCCAAATGTACACCATACAAATCTGATTATCTTAAGCCCTCTTTTTGAAGACTGATAGTAGCATTTAATGCCAGCAAACATCCAGTTTAAGCAACAATTGTTGTCTTATAACATTAAATGCTGGACCACATCCACCCCTAATAAACAGGTTTGTTGAAGGAGAAACAGGCCTAGAATCTATCCAAATCTCTATTGAAGTTAACTTAGCCCAAGCCTAGCCCATTCTACATGCCCATAAAGAGAAGCTACTGAAGATAATTTGGACTCTTCATTTAAAAAGTATTGCTCTATAAAGCTCTTCTAAGATAGGCCTAATTGGGTAAGACACAAGATACACTCTCCTTTCTTCTCTTTTCTGGAATGAATGCAGAAGGTATGCTACATTCTTCTTTCACAGGTTCCGGAGAAAGAAGATAGATCAGCATAAATCGCAAAGCTATAATCCTCCTTCAGCACCCTCTATGCAGTCACAAGAGAAAATCATAACTCCTACTAATTCAAAAGTCTTGGAGACAAGTCTAATATCTCCAAAGGACTCATGAAGATCTTAGCAGTTGACTACAGATGGTTAGGCCATACCTTTTCAGTTAGGAACTTAAGGTTTATTCCGAAAAACACAACTCTAGAAATGTTTTTCTTATCTAAAACTAAGTTAGATAAATCTAGACTGCAAATAGAAGGTTGAAAACTAAGTTATAACCACTGTTAACTTGGGCCTTCCAATAGCATAAAAAGAGGCTTATACCTTGCTTAGAAAGCGAGTATCAAGATTAAGGTAACCAATACTGGTGAAAATTTTATCAACATTCTGATATAAGGCATAATTCCTAGTCAGACATGGCTATTTACTAGCGTCAACAGTCTCCCTTACTCAGCAACTAAAAATCAATTATGGGAAACTCTTATAAAATTGGAAGCAATCACAATCTTCCTTGACTTCCTGCAGGGAATTTCAACAGCATTATAAAAGAATTGGACAGAAGCAGATCCCACAATTATGGAGTAACAAGTTTTGCAGGTAATCCATATACCTTGTCTAATAAAAGGAGTGGGGCAGTCAATTTAAAAGCAAGACTTGATCTGGCCAACTGCCAATGGCGCTTACTATTTCTTCAGGCAAGCATTTTTCATTGCCAACAACCTTTTTTAGCCATAATCCTTTACTCATTTCTATACTAAAGCATCATAGTGGATTTAAGAAGCTTTCTAAATTAAAAAGGGATATGGGTAAAGGACTATACAAGCAATACAGTAGTAGAAAATGCATGGGATCAGCTAATTGGGTCAGCAGTCCACTGATACTACCAAAAGACTCAGAAAACCCACTTGGCACTTCTAAAATGACGGAATCCTACTTTAGCAATCTTAGCACAAACACCACAAGGAATTAAAATCAAATAGAACAATTATAACAAAAGGAGCCTAGCCCTGAAAATATGAATACTGAAGTAGCCATCCAAATTGAGTTTCAAGGGCTTCTTCTACAAGAAGAAATCTACTCATGGATAAATTGATTGAGCAACAAAAAGAAGAAATCTAAAGACCAAATATTTCCATATTTCAGCCACTATCAGAAAGAAGAGAAATTCCATTGAAGATATTAAATCCTTCCAAGGTGATTGGATATATGACCAACATAAGATTGCCACTCATTTTCTGGAGCACTTCCAAACTCTATCAATTACCAGCAATGCCTACTTTTCAAAAGATCTAGAGGGTTTATTTCCTCATGTAATAACTAATGAGAAAAATGAAACTCTATTACATATTCCTGGAGATAGAAAATCTACCGAGTGGTCAAATGCATAGGTGCTCATGAAGCATCAGTCTCGACAGTATGATCGAATTTTCTATCACCACTTCTAACACCTAATAAAAAAAGATGCGGTGTCCTTTGTACAAGCTTTCTTCAGTTTAGGTTTCATGTTAGAGGAGGTTAACCAGACTAACGTTGCTTTAATTCCATAGTAAAAGGCAGCGACACAATGAATAAGTTCCTTCTTATGTTATTATGCATTGTAAATTACGATATTATCTCTAAAATCTTAACGACAAAACTAAGATGAATTATGGATAAAATTATTTTCCTTTGTTAATTAACCTTTACTAAAGGTCAAATAATTCAAAAAATATTATAATTTCTTATGAATAATGCACTCCATGAAGGTAAAAGATGAGTACGAAGCTGGCAATACTTAAATGTGATATGAAAAAGGCATTCGACAGAGTAGACTGGAGACTCATACAATGCATTTTAGAAAAGCTGGAATTTTATAATAAGAAAATCCAGTTGATCTCATAATGCTTCATTCCAATGTCTTATCAAATCATCATCAATGGCCTTCTGATGTTAGGAGTTCAGCCACAATGATGCTTTAGATAGAGGGATCCATTATCTCCATATCCATTTCTCCTTCGCACAAAACTTACATAAAATTTTACTTAAAGCTAGATCCAACAATAACGTAACTTAGTGCATCCTCTTTTACTCATTTATTGCATGTGAACGACTTGTTAATTTACCATCAAGCAAATGAGCAAAATATTTTTTGCAGTTATGTCTCACACTAAAATATACTATGTCTAGTCAGGTCAATCACTAAATAAGCGTAAGTGCAGAAAAGCCAAGCCTGAAAGTCGCAGGAGCATGATGACCATCTCTAATCTTAAAGCCTCACATGGAAGCAGTAAATTATTTAGGATTAAGACTCTTAAAAAAAAAAATAGCTCAAAGACTTTTCAAAACCTTTTGTAAAGAATGATAAAAAACCAACTAGCCAGAAAAGTCACCCAGTCTCATATACCGACAGATCTACTATGGTAAGATATGTCCTCAATGCCATTCCCATACATTATATGTCAACATATATACTGGCACAGAACATCATTGGACAGTTCGCCAAAATAACTAGAAAAATCTGGTGGGCTGATTTGAAGAACAAGATCCATGGCTTTGTACTAATCCATTGGCAGAAGATCTTTGTGCCTAAGGCTATGAGACAGCTTGGTTTTTTAAAAAAAAGACAAAAATATCATATCTATATTATATTTCTTGTACTCTAAGTTTCTTTCTTTCACTGTGCTTTTGTTCCATTATATCTATCAGTCACTAACTGCATGCTATTTAGCATCATACATAAACCACACACTATCTTCATCCGTACGTTTAAATTCCAGTACTTCTAGAATTGTTTGTCTACAATTTTCTTTCCCCAGTATTTTTTGAAGTATCCTAGAATAAAATTTGATTACTTTGATTCAAGAGAATTCAATTCCGGTATTCAACTTGAGAGAGAATATTGAGAGAGTAAGTGCAACACAATAGTGAAAAAAGTGAGGGGATGCTATTTTCTAACATTTCTTGCAAGTTTCTAACAATGTCTTTGCCTAGTAAACTAACCAATATAAAACTCTATATGGAAAAGTTCCAAAGAAGGCTTAGAGAGCTTAATTGGGCAAAAATAAGTCAAAGGTCTTCTACTTCATCAAGAGTCAAAAGCCGAATCCAGGATGAGGAGGCCAATTCATGT